GGCTATGGGACAGAGAACTTGGGTTTAGATCCATTACCAGCTGTAAGACCTTAGGAAGGTTATACTTCCTTCTTATGTGTAAAGTGGAGATAATAATAATGTCTACTTCACAAGGTTGTTTTGAACGTTCAAAGAAATGATGTAGAGACAATAAAGTACTTGTCCAAGGCCAGCCGGGGCTGCATAGTGAGTTCAAGCCTAGCTTGGAATATATAGGGAGATTGTTGCAAAAAGCTAAAAGGAAGAAGAAAAAAACCCAGTTAAGGTAAAGAAATAGATCAAAGGAAGAAATGTGGGCTACTAGGGAAGACTTCTTAAGAACAGCAAGTGTTATCTAAAAAGGACTCATAAGAATGAGTTTGGCAATGGCAGCCAGGGCAAGAGCAGAAGATCCAAAGATGAGTAAGATGTCCTTGTCCTCTGGAAGTGTACACATCAGTACAGGTTATAAGAGAAGGTCCAAAGTAGCAGAAGTTAGCAAGTAAGTGCACAGTAAGCAAAACAGAGCCCTAGGGAAGACCAAAAAGCAATTAAATACTACCTGAGTATCTAACTAGCTAAACTGACAATCTTGAGATGGAAGCTGGGGATGGAATTCAGGGCCTTACATACACCAGGAAAGTGATGTAACACTGATCTATACCTACAGTCCCTAATACTTTATTCCTGTTCACTGAAATAGTGGTGGTGGTGAGAAATATGCAATGAAACAGTAAAAACAACCAGTGTATTTTCCCCTAAAGGCTGGTAATTGGCAGATTATACTGAATCATTCTAGAATAGCGATAAAGGAAGGTGCTCTGATGGCTTCCATTACTAAATCGCAGTGGCAAGATTTTTCAGGTGCAGATTGTCTGCTACTTTGAACTTAGGAAAAGAGGGGTTACCAGGGAAGGAGACTTTATCTTTCTTCTATAGACCTGGGATTAGGGCAACGTTTATTCAAACATACACATATACATGGGGGAAAGCACATAGTATTGTGTAGAATTTCTGCAGCTGAGCTACAGTTTGCAATCTAATACCTGGTTATCAAGTATTTCCCAAGAAGAGATGATGCCCTGGACTGCAAATATGGTAAATCAAGGCCAGGAGAATAGCCTAGTGGTCATTCAGTAAAGATACAAACAAAGATGTATAACAACCTCTGTTTGCTGTATTCCAAAAAGTCCTGGAACTCTTAAGAGTAGTTGCGCAAAAAATACAAGTTTTTTGCTTAGCCTTCTGTTCTCAATTTTTTAAACACATAAACTCAGTTTCTCTTAAAGCTCTCAGATTGTAACTTTATGAGGACTCAACAAGCCTTAGGGCTTCAATAAAGGGCTATATGGACAAGTGGTATAAAAATTCAGAATTTCAGAAGATCTACATAAAATTAAACCTTGACTATCTTCCACAACACAAAAATGTAAATTCATCCTCATTTTTCCACTAAAATTTAATTGTTTTCTGAGTCAGGGTCTTGCTACACAGTTCAGGCTAGCCTTGAACTCAGGCAATCCTCCTGCCTCTCTCTGCCTTTCAAGTGCTGGAAACTACAGGTGTGAGTCACCACACCCAGCTTAAAATTATAATTCCACAGAGTATTTATATTTGCTGTGAGTTCATGCCAAATCCCTTTCCCCTATAATATAAAAACTCACGAGGGCTGGGGATTTAGCTCAGTGGTTCCACCACCTGCCTCGGAAGCGCAAGGTTCTGAGTTTGATCCCCAGCACCAAAAAACAACAACAAAAACAAACCCAAAACATAAAAAATAAGTTTAGATTAGTAAAGCATGTTGTGTCTGGCCATTGTCCTTTCCCTTTCCCCAATAAACTGCCTGGCCTTTAGACAGTTCTTTGCCCAAACTGCTTTTCTTCTGTGTTTTCTCTTTCACTGATATTCCAAATAAAAGCCAGAGAGTACTCAACTTTGGGGCTGCTTCTGAAAGTCTCCCTTAACACTGGGTACCCTCAGTTAAGATAGCCCCTCTGGGCCTCTAGGTGTTCAGACCAGGTCTTATTTCTGAGTAATCTTTTCATCTCCTGTGCCACCATGGTCACACACTGCAAAAGGATATAGTGTATACTATAATTAGAAATAACAGAATTCCAATTTATCTAGTTTTGACCCAGGACAAAGTGATTATGCCAGGTGTGGTACTACATGCCTGTACTCGCTGCTACACAGGAAAATAAGCTAGGAGGATCACAAGTTCAAGGGTAAGAAGGCAAAGTCCCATCTCAAAAACAAAACCCTCAAAAAACAAAGAGAAAAAGTAAGTAATTGAGAATGTTCTAAGTCAAGATTTTTCAACCTCAACACTACTGATATTGGGACTGGATAATTCTTTGTTCTGGGAGCATAGAAGGCAGATCCGTGCTTTGTAGAGTACTTAGCAGCATCCCAGACCTTTTCCCACTAGATGACAGAAGTACTTTTCCCACTCTATCCAAGTTGTGCTGATCAAAAATATCTCCAGACATTGCCAAATGTCCTTTGGGAAGCAAAATCATTCTCAGTTGAGAAATTGTGTAGGTAATTACCTTTAAATTTATAGTAAAAGGAAAAGGACTATGTCCAAAACTAGACTTACGAATCACTAGGCACACAGACTTCAGCAGGGTGTGGTGGCACATACTTATAGTTCCAGCTATTTGGGAGGCTGGAGCAGGAGTATTCTAAGTTCCAAAGCAGCCTGGGCAACTTAGCAAGACCCTAGCACTTTAGCTTTGGCAACTCTGACCACACAAAACCTCTTTTATATCAAATTAGTAAACATAGATCTTATGGTACCAACCTGTGCTGTTTAATGGCCATTAGCCAGATGTCAATACTGAGCTCTTGGGTTATGGTACATCTGAATTGAGACATGTTATAAGTTTAAATTCACACTGAATTTCAAAGATTAAGTATGAAAAAAATCAATACTTTTTTGCAAAGATGTAATGGCTTTCACAAGTGATTTATGAATCAAGCAGTCTCTAGTAAAGATTTTGAAAAGGCACACTTTAATACTTTAAAAATTTTTAACATGTTAAAATAATATCTTTAATATACTATCATTTATATTACTAAATTAATTTCATCTATTTCTTTTTACTTAAAATGTAGCTACTATATAATTATACATGTACTCCCATTTGTAGCTGGTATGGTATTTCTATCAGGCAGCACTAATCTAAATATAGTATGTATCACTCCTTAATAGTACTATGACTTTTTTTTTTTTGAGACAGAGTCTCACTATATAGTTCAGGCTGATGTTGAACTCACTATGTAGCCCAGGCTGGCCTCAAACTTGTGGCAATCCTCCTGCCTCAACCTCCTGTGTGCTGGGATTACAGACATGAGTCACCCTGCTGTGGTACTGCAACTTCTGAGAATCTCTGTACATCTGTTCAAAAGGCATATCAGTCTTGTTGAAAGGTGAGTTACCACCCCTGCTCATTCAGGTAAGACTGTTCCAGTGTGCCTGCTCAAGGTATGAGATACTGAAAGGTAATCTAACTATGGCAAGATTGTCGAAATATGATTCACACCCAAGAAGTTGCTAAAAGCTTAACAAGGAAAATGGCTACCTTTTTTTTTTTTCCCAGTGCTGGGGACTGGACCCAGGCCTGATGGGTTGCAGGCAAGTGTTCTACCACGGACTTAAAGCCCCAACTCAGCTACAGATTTTCTTTTCTTTCTTTTTTTATTTTTTAAGACAGGGTCTTGCTATGTAGTTCAGGCTGGCCTTGAACTCACTATGTAGCCCAGGCTGGCCTGGAACTCTGCGATCCTCTTGCCTCAGCTGATAAGTGATAGGATTACAGTCCTGCAGGACCACGCCATGCTCAGCTACAGATTTTTAAAGGAATTCACATTTCCTCTTATATCAGTACACCCTTTTTGGAATAGCCAGCTTTCTAAAGTTACTGTTAAATAATGTCCTTGGATTTTATAACATTTCCTATTTGAAAACATTAAATACACTTGTCTAAGTATTATTGTTTTTCATAAAAGCTCCGAGTTATAGGTAGTTGTTGTTTACATTATCACAATACACCCCGAGAGTTCTGTTTCAGGAAAAGACCTATAAACTGCAACTTAACAGTATTTAAACACCTCTTCCAAATTACTTCCAAATTTCCGAGTATACCATCCTAATCAGGAAAAGACATGCACGCATTAAGACATTTAGAAAAAAAAACCCACTAAAAATCCTTAGGTTAAGCGTCTTTCAGGTCTGACATACCATGCGCTTTTGTTATTTATGCCTAGTCAAAAGTGCTTTCCATGGAACCCTGAAAACTAGGAGTCTGGGTTAGTTTGTTCACGCGAAGGAGGGCAGAATCTGGCCTTGGGTAACTCGTAGCACTTTTATCTCTCTGCTCTCCCAAATGATTATCTTCAAACGTCTCTGGATCTTACAAGTGTTGTACTCTGAAATGCACTCCGTCTTCCTCCAAGGACAAACTTACCTCTCCAAGAGCTGAATGCCTCAAACCACGCTCCTTTCGCTCATCACTCTATCTAGCACTTGGCTTTCAGGACTTAAAGCAAATTAACTGCTCTGTGCTAGCCAGGGCAGTGCCCCTAACCCAGATGTACAGGTTGCCTTTTCCTTTTTCTCCGGGGTTCTACAGATGCTTGCTCGTTGAAAGACGGACTTCTCTCTCCATGAAAGGTTACCACACTTATCTGCACGTACAGAAGAAAATCTACGCACGTGACCTGGCACCTGAGGGGCGCTCTATCAGAGCAGCGATCATTACTAAGGTGGATGTACAAGGAACTCGAGCAGACCCTGACCAGAGACATTTTATTCAGCGTGCAGCGCGCACCACGCATGGAACTTTCTTTCCCTTCATTAGAGGCTTCGGCTTCAATACCTTTTCCCAAACTCTATCAAAGCCCGGAGCTCTGGTCATGAACTTCATCGCTTCCCGCAGACTCCGTGACATGCTGCTCACTGTGAACCGACTGTCAGCTTGGAAGAACGTAGGGCCGCACGTCTGTGACAGAACAAGGACAGGGAGACTGAGTCCCGCCGCCCTCTCCGCCCCGTGGCGCGCTCAGGGTCAGGCGTCGCGCGACCCCGCTGCCAGCGTCCCCCGCGGCTCCCGCATTAACGTTCCGGTCCCTCTTGTGACCGAGTGCGCACGCGCGTTGCGCCCCAGCAGGCTCAGCAGCACGGCCCGCGGAGCAGCCGAGCCTCTCACCCTCCCTGAGCTAGGCGCGTTTCCGCGCCGGGCGGTACATGCGGGTGCACCAGGGCGCCGGGCGCTTGCGCAGAACCAGGCAGCAGCCGCGCGTTGCGCGAAGTGGGCGTTTGAAGCCGCGGTGAGGTGATGGAGCTAGGGAGCGGGGGGGAGGAGGCGGCGCGGGACGAGGGCGAGCCGGAGACAAAGAGGCGGAGGCTGCTGTGCGAGGAGTTCGCCTCAGTGGCGAGCTGCGACGCCGCGGTGGCGCAGTGCTACTTGGCGGAGACCAACTGGGAGGTGGAGGTACGCGCTCGCCGTCGCTTCCTGCGCCCTCGCCCTCGCGCGGGTCGGCGGTCGGCGGCCGCCCGCCCAGCCCTGTGCCCTTGCTTTTCAGAGAGCGCTGAACTCCTACTTCGAGCCGGCCGCGGAGGGGAGCCTCGTGAGGAGCCGGGCCGTTACGCCCGCAGAGCCAGGCCGCTGGTGAGCGCGGGGCGGGCGGGCGCTCCGGGTGCAGGGCGCCCCACGGCGGGACCAAAGCTGTTCTCTGGCAGCCTGGCGCGCATTTGGAACGGGAGTTGGAGCCTGGGAGGAAAATCTACAATGTATTTATTCTATTTGTTTACCTTGGTACTTATACGTATCGCTTCGTCATCAATTTCCAGTCTATCTGACTCGAATTACAGGAGATACATAAGCCAGAGTTTTGAAACAAATGAATGAGACAGAAATCTTGTGTTGACGAGTAGTAACTTGGAAATCTTGTTTCCTGTTCTGATCTATTTGCTTTCCTCTAGCTAGCCAGAACAGGTGTTTTTTCTTTTTTTCTTTTTATAAATCAGGCCTGATATTGTCATTTCAGTGCCCTACCCTAACACTTGCACTGTTCCTAAAGTCCAGATGCCTGCAAGACTCTACCGTTTGGCCCCTATCTGACCAGAGTCGTATCCTGCCACTCTCCCTTTACCACTCGAGATGTACCAAACTTCCACTTCCTGAGCCATTTTTGCATGTCATTATCACCTTTGTTTGGAATCTTTTCTTTCTCCTTGCTTGTTAATATTTGACATGCTTAGACATGCTATCTCCAATAAGTTTCCCCTGATGTCCTGAGTTTAGGTAAGATTCCACTTTTAGGTATTTGTATAGTATCTTGCATGATACTTGTCATGATAATGTAGTCTGCCCTCTAGTTGCCATTCAGTATTTTATATCTTCTGCTAGACCACACAGTCCGTAAAGGCAGAACTTGTTTTGTACATTGTTGATTTCCCGAAGTCTTATACAATATTTGGCACTTAAAAGCTCTCAGTGTTTTCTGCATGTATAAAAGTTCTCCTGGCAGTGTGAGCTTTTCATGGTGGAGACTCTTTTCTTCTTTTGACCTTTTCCATGGATGTGATGAGATCATTTTTCATTAGGTTTCTTCTTTGCTTAGCTTCCTGTTGGCTCCCTTGCTTGTAATAGTCAGAAGCAATTGGACAAGGAAGTGTTTACCCAGCCCAAACTGGCCAGTCAGATCCTCTTTCCTGGGATTTCAGGAGTCAAATGTGCATCTTCCTGTGGAGCTAGAATTGTAATATGTTAACTTAGTGCAACTCTAGCTCCATATCCATCCTTTTTTGTGTGCGTGGGGAAGCTGAGAACAGTGGTTCAAAGTTGCACCTGACTAAATTGTAGCTGATAAATTAGAGTAAAGATATTGGATTCCCTGAAATAGAATTTCAGAAAAAAATGTACTGAGCTGAGTAATGGTGACATAGGGGACAATCAGGAATCCCTTATTCCAGAATGGTAAATTGGCAAAAACATATTAGATGGCTATTAGACAATGGTCTGTTGCCTCTTAGAACTCAGATTAAGAGCCACTAGCTATGGTGGCTGGCACAGGCCTGTAAATCCCAGCCAAAGGTTGAGATAGGATTGAAAGTTCACTTTAGTAATACTCTGTCTCAGAATAAAAGTGAGAAAAAGGGGTAGGAATGTAGCTCAGCATTCCCTGGGTTTAATCCTCAGTACTGAAAAGAAAAAAGATGATAAAATTTAGTTCACTAAGAAGAGAAAAAAAGCTTCCGGGTGTTTCTAAGGCCTTCATATTTATGGAACATGACCTGATTAGATTTTTTTGATGTTGCCTTTAACAAAAATGAAAGTAAAGGGAAAAAGGAAATTGATAGAATGATTTTATGACTAGAAAAACTGAAGCCTGATGAGCAGGAGTTTTGAGTTGTCTTGAGTAGGGCTGTGAATCTCAGTTCTTCAGTAAATTTCTAGGCTGTAAGCAAAAAATGAAATTAAATAGTAAAGTAGTTTAGCCATCTGCATTGGAATCTGTGTTTAGTGTCTCTCAGGAGCCAAGGGAAATCTCCTTAAAGCAGTTGTTGAATTTTGGCTGCACTTTAGAACTACCTGGGGGGAGCACTGTTTAAAAAATACCTTTCCTGAGGCCCCTCTGCTGTATCTGTAAGTGAACAGATATTTAGGTAACAGCGAGAATCTTACTCTTCCTTATGCATATGACTTTTGCTCTCTTTAAGAATCTTTTAAAATTTATTTACAGATTCAGTAACCCTTATCTGAAGTGCTTGGAACCATAAATATTTCAGTTTTGGGGGCATTTTGATTTTGGATTTTCTAACTAGGGAAGCTTAATCTGTATGTGCAAAATGAAGACTACAAATACAAAATATTTCTTTTTTTTTTTTTGGTACCAGGGATCAAACTCGGGACCTTGCACTTGTGAGACTGGTGGTGGAACCACTGAGCCAAATCCCTGGCCCCAAAATAATTCTTAATCAATTTGTATTATTTGTGAAGATGTTTTATTCTGATCTTACCAGTGTTGACCTAACCAGTGAAGAAACAGCTGACTCCACTAGTTCTAAAATCTGCTCATCTCAGCAAGAAGATGGCAGCATGTTCTCTTTCATCACATGGAATGTTGATGGATTGGATCTAAACAGTCTACAAGAGAGGGCTCGAGGAGTGTGTTCCTATTTAGCTTTGTAAGTGGTGTCACTTGTGTTTACTACTTTATTGTGATAATGTGTCTTATGTATCTACAAAATAACCATGTAAGGTTGTGGGCTTTATAATTAGACTTAGGTCCAACGTCCAGCTCTGAGAAGAAGCATCTGAAGGAGTTGAGGTGAGTGATTACCTGAGAATTGGCATGGAGAGGGAAGATCCGTGTTTGTTAGGTCCACTCTAGGCTAGTGATCACTTTGTGTATAATTAATGCCATGAAATGACCAAAAAAATCTGTTTCTGCCCCATTCTAGCTCTGTGACCTTGGGCAAAGTACTTCAGTTCTCTGAAGCCATTTTCTTCACTGTGGATAATAACTTTTACGATGATCAAAAGAAATACCATTGAAAGCATCTATTCAAGTATAGTTTTGTTGTCTCTGAAAAGAGTGGTTTCTATTTTCATTCATTACAGTGTTTTGTTTTTGTGGTGCTGGGATCAAACCCAGGGCTTCACACATGCTAGGCAAGGGCTCTACCACTGAGCTACACCTCAGCCCTGCAGTTCTTTTTAATTTGATCATTATAGTACTATGTGTTAAATAGTACAGGTCTTTCTTATTTTATTGTTACCAAAAATCATAAGTTATTGCTTATTTTATTATTATTAAAATAATTAGTATAAATATTAGGTGGCCTAGAGAGTGATAGCTTTGTGTTTCTTTTATGTTGTAGAATTTCTCTTATCAAGGTAGCTGAAAATGAAATGGTATAGACCTTGTATTTATATTAAATTAATATTTTTAGATACAGCCCAGATGTGGTATTTCTACAGGAAGTTATTCCGCCATATTATAGCTACCTAAAGAAGAGAGCAAGTAGTTATGAGATTATTACAGGTAATACTTTCCTGTTACTTATCTTCTTTTTTGTTTTTTTTTCTTTTACTGAGGATTGAACTCAGGACCTTATGCTTGCCAGGCAGGCGTTTGCCACTGAGCTAAATCCCCAGCCCCTATTTAACTTATCTTTCTAAAAAAGCAAACCAGTAAAAGAGGTAACTTAAGAACTAGCCTGTAAGAACATGTAGAAAAGAAAGGTACAGATAAGCAAGTTTGAGAAAAGGCACAGGATACTGAAAGAATTATAGGAAAAGCTGCACGTGGTGGAGCACACCTATTATCCCAGCACTCTGGGAGCCTGAAGCTAGGAGGATCTCAAGTTCAAGCTCAGCCTGGGCAACTTGGTGACTTAGTGAGCCCCTATCTCACAATAAAAAATAAAAGGGCTGAGATATAGCTCAGTGTGAAGACCCTGGGTTTAATACCTAATACTTAAAAAAAGAATTTGTAGGAGAATATTATAAAATCAGACATTGACTAGCTTTTTGGTGAAATTGAATTATTCATTTTTTTTTTCTTGTGTTAGAGATCCAACCCACGGCTTTGTACATGGCAAGCCCGTGCTGTGCCACTGAGCTATACCCCGAGCTCAACTGTAAGAAATTTAAAGTGTGATAATCACAACCTGGTTGTGCTTTTTTAAAAGTCTTTATGAATTCCTTTTAATTCATCTTATTTTTCTTTTTTCACCTTTTTCCCTGAATAATACATAAATTTTCCATTTGTCTTTCCTAAGTACATTTAAAGTAGCATTTTGGTCGCATTATTTTCATATATATTGCTTTCCTTGACTCACTGTTACACAGTTTGTGATATTTAATTTTGGTTTACTCTGGAAGCAGTAGTTTCTAACGAGGGCTCTCTCTCAAGCTCTGTGTCCCTCTCTTTGTGGCACTTTCCTGCATGCTTTTAGGGATCCCTTTTGCCTCTTATTTTGGTTTTGTTTTCAGAGTCTCATGCTTCTCCTTGGCTTACTGTCTCATTGGAGTCCATTTTCTAATTATTTTATGAGAAGTAGTAGATGAGTAATGAAGTTTTTAATCCTACCATATTTGAAAACGCCTGTGTTCTAGCCTCACAGTTGGTAGTTTGAATGGACCTAGACTTCTAGGTAGTCATTTCCCTTCCCCTTTTCTAGAATCCTTCTCTTAAACAGAGACCCTCTGCATTAGTACTTTGTTTTTTGGGCTTTTGTTTTGTTTTGTTTTTTCTTGGTACCGGGCACTGAACTCAGGACCTTGTGCTTGCAAGGCAGGCGCCGGTACCACTGAGCTAAATCCCTGGCCTTGCGTTAGCCTCTAGGGTCTGTAGGTGTAGGCCTCTAGGCCCCATAAAGGGATGGTTACTTGGCTGTGAGGAACTAGAGAAGACACCTGGGATGTGTTTAGCTACTGGCCCTCATGTTCTTAGTTCAGTGCCTTACCTTTTTTGTTAACTTTGTGTTCCAGTACTATTTCTAGATGTCAGGGGAAAAAATTCTGCCTGCTTCCTGTCTGAGTTTTCTCTGTTCTGGTAAACCATTACCATTTGTACGCCTGCTTTCTGTTTTCTGAAAGACTTGGATGCTTTCATTCACTGCCACTCTACTCTTACTCTCTTTTTCTGAGACAGGATTTGAGACAGGGTCTCACTCTGTAGTTCAGGCTGGCCTTGAACTCCCTATGTAGCTCAAGCTGGCCTCAAACTCGAGCCAGTCCTCCTGCCTCAGCCTCCTGAGTGCTGGGATTACAGGTGTGCACCACCATGCCTGGCTTCTTTTTTTCTTCTTGCAGGTTTACATCTTTCTAAATTTTTTATTCATTTCTTAAGATTTTTCTTCTAGCATGACAAGTAAGTGCCTATCAGTTTGCTTTAGCTTAATTCTCGTTTTCTTGTACAGAAATTTCTCAAATTTTCTTTTTTGACATTGGCTGCAAATTTACTATACTTGCCACTGTTTGCCTACTTGCCTCCGCCTTTGCCCTTTTTTCTTTCTTTTGTGGTGCTGGGGTTTGAGTCCAAGGCCTTACACTTGCTAAACAAACACTGTCACTGAGCTCCTAGCCTCATTTATTTTTTTATTTCTCCTTAAATGTGGGGAGAGTGCAGGTAAGTACGTAGACTTGATTGACCATCTTGAGCTATTCTGATATAATCGTTTAAGGATTTACATCCATTTAAATATCTGTTATCTGTTTGTTATAACATCTTTAGTAGGGGAGTTTGTGGAAAACTAAAAGTACCTTTGACCTTCTCAGCCTAAATTCTTTTCCCCAAATGTTTGAAGGTCATGAAGAAGGATATTTCACAGCTATAATGTTGAAGAAATCAAGAGTGAAATTAAAAAGCCAAGAGATCATTCCTTTTCCAAGTACCAAAATGATGAGAAACCTTTTGTGTGTCCATGTAAGTAATTTACATTTGAATTTTTAAAAAGCAGACTTTTTAAATTGTCCCATGGTGTTATCTTTTAAAAAAAATTGCCTTTAGAGAAAAGTTCGCTCCTTCTATGTACATTCTTTTAAATAGTCTCAAAGAACTTTGTTGGATTTTTGTATAAATTTTGAATATAGAAAAACTTGTAAAAATAGAATTCTTAATGTATTAGATGTTTTCCTAAATATTCGAGTTTGCAGATATTCCACATTTGCTTCCTAAGTAATACTTTTTACTTGCTCCATGGTATTTATCCATGGTGCTGTGTTGTACTCTGTGAGGCTTATGAGACTGAATCAAAACCGGTCTTGTTGGGCCCAGAGATTTAGCTCAGTGGTTTCGGTGCCTGCTGCACAAGCACAAGGTCCGAATTCGATCCCCAGTACCAAAAAACAACAAAGAAAAACAGGTCTTGTTTCCATACAGTTTAATAAGGGAGAGATTATGTATATAGTAACTAAAAGGAAAAGCAAAAGTGCCGCTCAGCAGGTATAAGTGATACTCTGGAAGTTTGGACAGAGGTGTTTGTCAGAAGATTAGTGAGGATTTCATGAAGGAAGTGGTATTTGAATTGAAATATGCACATCTAAAAAATACGCTGTAGACATGAAGAGTCAAGTAGAGAAACCATCATGAGCAAACTTATGCAAGTCGCCGGAGGTGTGTATGTATGGGCACCAGTGAGCTTTCTGTTCAGTCAATGTGGATGGTTTGAAGAAGGTAGTATGACAGGAGGTTGAGAAGTAGGCAGGATCCAGTTTATAGAGGAGCATGAATGCCCAGTGTGAAAGAAGTGGACTCGGTTCTGCAGACAGTATAAGAACAGATCCTATGTTGTTAGTATCATACTGACATGGTAAACAATTCTCATTCATTCAGTTAACTGACATAAATTTGAGTATCTGTATGCCAGGCCCTTAATAATATAGCAATAAATGAAAATGACCTGAGCTTACAAATGACTTACACTTTAACGGGAGGGAAATACCTGTGCTTTAATTTAGTTCGGGGCTTTAACAGCAGTCTGTCTGGCATGCAGTAGGAGTCTAGAGGAGTGAGCCATTGGTGGCCTTGGGGACACTGGGGAAGGAGTCGCAGAGGAGGTGACATGGGGAGTGAGTTATGTTTGCTAAACAGTCTTTGCAGGCAAGGTTCGCACCTTACATTTCTTTGTTGACCTGGAGGGGTAGTGCTAAGATTACAGTTTAAGAAATGTATCAGTTGATGCTTGAAAAGACTCTGTCATCAGAGTTCACCATTAGTAGTTAGTGACAACTTAATTATCCTGTTGCAGGTGAGTTTGTCTGGAAATGAACTTTGCCTTATGACTTCCCATTTGGAGAGCACCAGAGGGCATGCGGAGGAACGAATCAATCAGTTAAAACTGGTGTTAAAGAAAATGCAAGAGGCTCCAGAGTCTTCTACAGTTATATTCGCAGGAGATACAAATTTAAGGGATAAAGAAGTGAGTATCAAAGTCTGTTCAATATGTGTGTGAAGATTTAGAGAAGGGTTTAGTTTTGTTTGACCAAAGCTGTTAACACTGGGACTTTTTGTCACTCAAAATGTCTAAGTGACCTTGAAAGTGCAAGTCAGTAGGTATCTTAGCCTTTGCTGTATTTCTAGGAGCAGGAGAGTCTCTTTATTACTGAGGGAAAACAAGTACTCTATATGAAATAGATAACATAAAATAATGTATCTGTTGGGTTAATAAGAGACATATAGAGAAGCTAATGATTAGAAGAGTTTAAATAAGATTGAGACTGAGTTTATTTGCAGAAGCCCTAGTTGCAAGGTGAGAAAGATGTTAGTTGTTTCTAACATTCATCCTTGTGTGATTCTTCTTTGGATTTTATTAACTTTGAATGGGGCAATATTGGGTGCACACCCAGGGCCTTGTGCATGCTAGGCAAAAGTTCTACCACTGAGCAATACCCTCCAGCCCCAGCTTTTTTTTTTTTTTAAAGCTTTGTTCTGTGTATTTAAAAATTTGAGATTTTAATAATCACAAAAAATGCAATCACATTGATGATTGGTTAATAGAATGTAGTGATGTATTCTCTACACAGAAATCATGTTGATGGGTCGTAATAATTTATCAGACTTTTTACCCCCTTTTGCTGCTTCCACAATGGCCAGATCTGAAACAGAGTCTCTCTTTCGTCTTAGTTCCATTGGGACACAGTGAGATTTTTTAGGACTTCAAAACATTAACTGTAGTATTACCATATGATCTAGCAGTTCCACTCCTAGGCATATACCTAGGAAAAGTGAAAGCAAGGACTTTACAAACATCTGTACATCCACATCACGGCACTGTTATTCACAGCAGCCAGGACTGCAAGCAACCTAAGTGTAATTGATAGATGCCTGGAAATAAAATGTGATACGCACATGTGATGGACTGTTATTCAGCCTTAAAAATAAAGGAAATTTTGCATACGCTACAACACAAATCTTAAGATGCTAAGTGAATGAAGCCAATCAATGAAGGAAAATACAATACATACATTCCCTAAACTCATCAGAAGAAGGAAGTGGAACGTGGTTGCCAAGGACGGGGAGGATAAGGGAATGGCAGATTAGTGTTCACTGAGTATAGTAAGTCCCTGTTCTACATTCATAAGTTGGATTCATTCATAAGTCCAACAGAGTGGGCTGGGAATTTAGCTCAGTGGTTCCTCTGCCTGCCTCACAAGTGCAAGGACCTGAGTTCGATTCCTGGTACCAAAAAAAAAAACACAACTGAGTGAGTCTTAACCTTTGACACAACATACAATGTAAAGCATAAAAAAAAAAAAGAGAGAAAAATACAGAAAGTCCTTGACTGTACTGTACTACTGTACCGCAGACACGTGAGCTGCTTCTGCAGATTGTTTACATCTACAAATGTTTGTAATGCAAGGTCCATTCATGTCTGCAAAAGTTTGCAACTGGAGTGTTTATAAGTCAGGGACTTAGTGTATAGAGTCTGAGTTAGAGAAGATAAAAAGGTTTTGGAGATAGAAGGTGGCAGTGGTTGCACAGTTGTGAATGTAGCTGACCCCACTTTGGTGCTGGAGAATGAACCCAGGGCCTCCCACATGGTAAGCATAGACCCTACCACCAAGCTTAACAGAAAATTTTAAATCTTGCAGTATGAAGAGAAGGAATAATTAATATTGTTAATACATTTAAAATAAAACCATGAAGGGAATTAATATTATTGGAGCATATAAATGCCACACATCTAAATTAGACTAGTTTTTCCTCTTTTTACATCAGTTCAATTTTTAAAAACAAAGCATTAACTGAAGCTATGAGTGTTCAGTCTTCTGAGTTTTATCTGACACTCCAAATTAGGTGCCTATTCAAGGAGAACATTTGTGTATTATTTTTGACTTTTTGGTTTAAATGTTAGAGTTGGATGTAGTATTAACAAACATACTGTTTAAATTAGAAGAAAATGATTATATAGATGTTTTAAAATATTTCTTTTCAGGTTACTAAATATGGTGGTTTACCCAACAACATTTTGGATGTCTGGGAGTTTTTGGGCAAACCTAAGCATTGCCAGTATACATGGGACACCCAGATGAACTCTAATCTTGGAATACCTGCTACTTGTAAGCTTCGTTTTGACCGCATATTTTTCAGAGCAGCAGCAGAAGAGGGCCACATTGTTCCCCGAAGTTTGGACCTGCTTGGGTTGGAAAAGCTGGACTGTGGCAGATTTCCCAGTGACCACTGGGGTCTGCTGTGCAGCTTAGATGTTATATTGTGAAATGCTTCTCAAATGTGAGTCGTAGGTGTCTTGAGTCATTTTGTTCAGGAATTTTGCAAATATAATTTCTGCCTATCTGGAAAGGTCAATTTAATATGGAGAAATTAATATTGTATAGTGGGTCATTGTTACAGGAAGAATCAGTTAGGATTTTATGTGGTAGATTGTGCCCTCAGAATTCAGAATCAGTGTTTATTTTTTTTAATTTAAAAAATTTTTTGAATTGCTGAGTTATTAAATTGCCCAGCTTGGGTTTAAACTGGTGATCCTCCTGCCTTAGCCTCACAGTGCTGGGATCACAGGTATGCACCACCAGGCCCAGAGTGTATTTTAAACTAAGGCGTACCAGTGTTCAGAATATGAAGCCCTTTTAATGAAAGGCTATGAGCTTCAGCTGCCAGCTGGACTTCAGATAGGGCCCCCATTGTCTGGGAACTAACATGTCTTTTTTCAATCAGGCACCAAAATAGTTAATATTTTAAATGTCATCAAAAGAAAAAAAGCTGGGGATTTAGCTTAGTGGTACTGCCGCCTGCCTCATAAGCGCAGGGTCCTGAGTTTGATCTCCAGTACAAAAATAAGTAAATAAAAAAGGAAAACAGGTTACTGAGTTCTTGGGACTGAGTCACAATTGTATTTCAGAAATTTAGATAAAAAGCCATGATGACTTGCAGTTAAGTAGATGACAGTGGTCCTACATTAGATTTTTTTTTTTATCAGTCAACAGTACATAATCGGGAAGCTACAAACGAAACTTTATGATTTAAAATTCTTTAACTCTTTTCTGATTAATGTTGGTGGCCATGTCACCAAAGTTATGGTTATCACGATTAAAATCAGTTTTTCAGCAAGATGGGACTTTTTTTCTAAGAGAAAAATAAATGCATAAGGATAAATAGCCTTTTAGTTTTGCTACTTGTAAAAGGGAAATATTTTACAGGATGTGAATAAAGAGTACTTTTTTCATTTCCCTCTCCCCTTTGGGGTTTGTGTGTGTGTGTGTGTGTGGTTCTGGACGTGGAAACCAGGGCTTTACACCCAGGATCTCACACATACTAGGGAAGAGTTCTTCACTCAGCTATATAACCCTGCCTCTAAAGAATACTTTCAGATGTGCTTTAAAGAAGAAAAATTCCCCACAAAAGAAATGGACTGTAAATAAAGAATTTTATGTGTTTATAGATTGTGTTTTTATGTCCATGGTGGAATTAAAATTTTTACCTGTTTCTGGCTCCACTGCTGCCATTTCTTGTGTGGAAGAAAACAGCTTTTTGTGTTGCTTTTCATCCCATTAAGAATTACTAAGACTATCCTTAGGAAAAAAAAGGAAATCCAGTGGGGTAAATGAGAAGTGACACAAACTTATTTTCATCAGTAGTGCCAGAATTAAATACCTACAAAAGACAATTTGAATTTATACATAATATGCCCCTTTTAGTGACTATGGAAGAGTTTTATATGTTAGTCATAATTTTAATCATTAAAAGTCAAAATTGATGGAAATATTTTATAGCATACAGTATGGAGGCAATAGTTCATTTCTGTGGAAAACGGATGGATCAGGGATAAATTGCTTATTCATTTGGTAGAATTAAGTTAGAAGAACCCTACCTCATATAAAAATAATTTAGATAGGTGAAGGTCTAAATATACAAAATATGCAGTATAAAGGATAATTGTTTTAAAACAATGAAAGTATAATTTCCTTTAAATAACTCAGCATCCACCTAAAATACCTTCTTGTTTACTGCTTATAATGACAAAATATAAGAAACAAGTTACAAGTGGACTAGATAGGAACAATCAGACCACTTTTAGTCTGCTCCCATGGGCAGTAGTTTTCAAACAAAGAATTAACCTAATTTGTAATATCTTGAGTGTTTAACTTTGAATTTTAAGGTTTTCCATTCTAATAGCTTTGTTTACCTTCCTTTGATGAAATTCCAGCCCACAATCTTATCTACTACAGTGAGACAACACTGTTACTACTCTAAACATCTTTTCTCCTTTTTGCTAAGCAGTTTGGCATGATACAGAGTATATTTTAAGTTCCTAAACCTCAGTTTCTCCTATTTTCAAAATAAGACATTTCTTTATCTTTTATATTATTGTGCAAGTGGCCCCAGCCAACAAGAGCAGACAAAGCTAGGGAAACCACTGAAGATGCATCATTTCATCCCTAGAATCCATCTGCATGAAGCAGGAGTTGAATGAGTGTCTACTGAATGCCCAGGAGACTTGAGAGTGGCCTCACATCTGTGTCATAAGGAATAGGCTGACACTTTCATACAATGTCTCCCTGTTCACATACATACACATTCATCGTAAAGAAATGAAAATAATCTTCGTCTTAGTGGTTCTGAGTTAAAAAATGTTCTAGTTTAACCCTCTGGTTTAATAAGTATATTTTCTCATCAGCCGAGCCCTGCAGGGGACCATAATTGTCATCCTGACCTGCACTGCTGTGCTGTGGAATGCCCTGTGGGAAGAGAGGAGGAAATGTCCTTGGGGAGCCGTGGTTCCTGTGGAAGGAGCTGAAGAGTGCCTTGGAATCTAGGATGGGCTCCAGTTACTTCGCTTTCCAAAGTCCTGGTGGGAGGGGTGGGCATTATCTAAGGATTAGTACTGTCGTTAGGAAGTGGAGGGAGCTTAGCAATTGGGCATCACCAGCTATTGATGAGAATGGCAAAGCCAGGGCCCCTTTGGGAAGGAAGCCGTAGGAATTCAGAGCGGATTGTTACATCAGAACATGTCTCCTGTGAACTTTACTTCTGGCTTTCTCCCAGCCTGTTCATGACAAGGTTACCTTTGTTTGAGATAAGGTCTTTCCTATGTAGGCCAGGCTGGTCTCAAACTCACCAGCCTCCTGCCTTGGGCTCCAGTGTGCTAGGCTGATTGTCACTTTTTCCACCTTGGTCAGGTTTTTAACACTTTTAGTGTGCATTATCTCATTTAATTCCCCCAGTCATCATCTGGGGGTGCTGTTATCTCCCGTTTTATAACCCAGGAAGCAGAGTTAGCAAGACTGTTAACTTGGCTGTGGCTCCTCCATAGCCAGTGCATGGCCTAGTGGAGGCTTGCTAGGGTGTTGGGCTTTGTTGCAGAATACCAGAACTGGGAAACACGGCACCCAGAGGTTTGCAGGCAGTAAACATCTTTGTTTACACCAGTGGACTTGACCAGGATCTTTCCCCAAAGAAGTCAGGCGCAGAACATCAGTTGGGTGGCAGATTTATAGGGTTGCAAGCAGGAGGTACAGAAGCAGAAGCAGAGTATTTGGCAGTCTTTGGTTGGTTATTTGACATTTTTTACATTTATGAGGCTTAATTCCATTGGCATTTTCTTGGGAATATAGCAAGCAGAGTTTACACAGAGCAGAGCAGTGGGGGGCAGGGTGAGGGAAGAGCAGTGTTCTGGGAGGACTTTCTGAGTCCAATATGCTCCTTTGGTGACAGATTACAAGGTCATGCTACTCAGGTACATTTTACAAAAAGCATAGTTACCTAGTTAACTCATAGTTGTCCAGTTATTTTTTTGTTAAAAATACACGTCTGCCTGGAAATTCCCTTTCAGCTTGGCCCCAGGCATTGCATTGTAACCTACAGTGACAGGACAAGCAGTGCTCTAGGAATGCCTGGCTTCCTCTTCAGCCCGTCATTGCCATTCCCAGATGCTTAAATGGGAGGAAGAACCTTCCAGGTTTTCCGGGGTTGGGATTCTCACTTCCCCAAGACGCACATGGTCATAGTGCCCAGGGCGCACGTGTAATTTGGGGAGCTGGGAGTTGGTATGGACCTCTCCCGGCCCAGGTTCCCAGATGGTTACCTGGTGGAGTCCAAAGGGCCTGCACGGAAAGAGGAGGACTTGTTTAGTTGGCTTGACTCCTTCGAGGGACACATTCGCGAAGGGTCCTTGACTCAGTGTGCCCACAGTTCCCTTGAGCCACTCTGGCCGGAGCATTTATTTAGAAGGAGCGTTCATTCCCCAGACCCTTTAGCACTTGTTGGCAGGGAAGAGGCAGATGGGGGAAAGAAGGTGGGGAGCACAGGCCGCTCTGCATCCCCGAGTCCTGGTTCCCCGCGGAGTAGGAGCCAGTCCCCTTGGTGCCATCGCATCCCCGGAGAAGACCTGCGCGCTACGCCCGCCCTTCTCCGGCGCGTGTTGCGCGTGCGCGTCGCCGTGGTAACCGCGCAGCGGAAAGGCGCTGAATCACCGCATGCGCTACCCCGACGCCAGCCGAGCTGAGCTGGGGACGAGCGGGGGTCCCGTGGCCGCCTCGCTGGAGCGGTGCCGCCCCCAGCAGGTAGAGCGGGGCGCCGGAGCACTGGCCGCGTTCGCAGTCCCTGCTGGAGGTAAGAGCGCAGCAGCTGCCTCTAACTGTCGGGGGTTTGGTCCAGAGTCGCTCCCCTGGGGCCGCGTCCCAGGAAGGGACAGCTAGGGGCGGCACCCGTGACAACGGATGCGCGCGCCGGCGTGCGAGTGCGCTTGTCAGGCCGGGGGAGGACGGCGAGTAGGAGCAGGTGGGACGGCGGGCGATGCTCCTGGCAGCGGCCCAGTGGCCCAAGGTGCGGTATTCTGCTTCCCAGCCCTGCTGGCCAGGTGGCTGGATGGAAGGGCAGCAGGCAGAGAGGTTAGGCCAGAGTTAAATAGAAGCAAGGCGCCCTGAGTTCAGGAGGTGGTCTTCTCGGAGTTCCTCTGCATATCTAGGAAAAACCATTTCCTGGACGGCTGTATTGAATGATTGTTTCCGAGTAGGGTGGAGTCGGGAGATTTGGTGTCTTTCCTCAGCCTCACGGATTGCATTTCTTAGACCTGAAGAATCAATCGTTTTCTTTAAACTTCATTTGCTATTATTTCTTTGGTTGTTGTTTTCATTTGCTAAGACATCTCACCTCTCTCTGTTCCTTACCATAATCTGAAGCTTAAAACCTTCGAAAGGCTTTGTCGCCTACCCTTTGAATTCCCTCCAGGGAACGTCACAAATTCATAAACCTGAAATTATGAGAATCATCATTCTTAAGATCACTTGTTCTCTGAATTACATGGAGAGACGAAAGAATATAATCATGTACATTTTTATTGCAGGTTTGCCTAAACATTTTTATTCGTGGGTAAATGTTAGTATTTTTTTCCCCAGTGTTTGAATAGAAAGATTGAGTGCTGTTTTTGAAAATAATAAAAAAGAAATTATATGCCCCCCCATAATATTGAAATTTTAGAATATTAGTGCTTATTTCTTTATTCTTGAAATGCATGCTGAAATGCTTCAGTTTGTTAATTACAAGATGCACACAGTCCTGGAGACTATTGAAATTATGCCAAATGTAAAATTTTATTTTGTGCTTAGGATTTTTACGTTGTTTTTAATACAAATGAAGAAAAGGAGATAACAAGCCAGTTGTATACTTAGAAATCATACAAAAAGCTAACTTATTCTGTAACTTGGAAAAGAGAAATATATTTCAAGACTTTTTAGGATGATAGACCACACCTTTGCCATGTAAAATACCAAGGCAGAGTCTTAGTTGCCTTTCAGAATATTGAAAATAATTTAGCTAATGTCTTTATGTATTAAAAGTAGAGCTTAGGTAGCTTATTAACATAAAAGAATGGCTTTGCTGTTAAATTATTCTCTTGACTTAATTTTTCCCTGTAGCTGAACAGAGACTCATTCTTTGTGAATAGAGGTGTAGAACCAGGTGTCTGGGCAGGGTGATACAGATGGGCAGATGAGGGAGGGAGGATTGGTTGTGATTCTGCATCATTTGCCTACCACTCTAAGCCCCAGTTTCCACCTCTGTAAAATAGAGAATATAATAAGAGTGACGTACTTTGTGGAATTTCTCTAAGAATCAAAAAGTCAATGATACTATTTTTGAGATGGCTTTTCTTTGCAGGAAATATTGTCCATATCTTGAAAATAATTTGACACTAAAAATAGATTTTTAATTTATAAAGTTTTCAGAAAATGCATAAATTTTCTCCTGTAATATCTTTGTAATAATAAATATAATAGTCATTATCATAAAGGTATTTCAATTTAATATCTAGATAATATAACATTCGAAGGAAGGAGCTTTGCATTAGTAGGCCTGGAATAATCAATAGGTTATTATTCTATTTACTTATGTGTTATTTATTTATCCTTTGTTTTTTTGAGACAGAGCCTCACTATGTAGTTCTGTCTGGCCTTAAACTCACTATGTAGCCCAGACTGTCTTCTAACTCCTGGTGATTCTCCTGCCTCAGCCTATGGAATTACAGGCGTGTGTCACTATGCCCAGCTATTTTTCTTAAAGTCTGTATTTTAGACACTATTCATATTAATTCAATAATGATAAATCATTTATGCTCAACAGGTATTGTGGTTAAATCAAAACTAACATGTTTTTACATTATTTTACAGAATCTTTTAATGGTAGGTGTTTGAGTTTCAGAGTAAGGCTTTTTAAAGACACAAATAGAGCGGGGCATGGTGGCATACGACCATGTAATTCCAGCACTCAGCTGAGGCAGGAGGATCACTGAGGGTTTGAGGCCAGCCTGGGCTACACAGTGAGTTGAAGGCCAGCCTGAACTGCACAGTGAGTTCGAGACCCTGTTTCAACCATAACAACAAAAGACACAAGTAGATAGAGATGTGATGTTGGATCTTTAGATCTGTTCCCTTTCAGGTAATATTGTAGGATTCGTTTGCCTGATGGAAAGTTTTGGTATTTCTAACTAGTTAGCCATCCTCTTCCTTAAGTTAAAATTAAAAAAAAACAAAAACCAGCAAGGAATTCTAGTAAACATTAATCTAAGTAATGTAGATAAAATAAGAGGGTAGCTCAGACATCAATTTGAACTTTGAAAATTGGGGCCTTTTCACACCATAAAATGCCAGAAAATAAGTATTGAGGAAGGCTGAGAGCGGTGGCGCATACCTGTAGTCCCAGCACTTGGGAGACTGAGGGAGGAGGATCGCTGTGAGTAGGGGGCCAGCCTGTGGCCCCACAACACGTTCTTATTTTCTTGAATCAAGTTCTGCTCCTGGTTCACAAGTGCCGTTCCTCAGTCTCTTCCCAGGCTAGACATATCACTGTGTCACTGCCCCAGTGCGAAACTTTTAATGTCCAGTCTACCAGTGGAGAAAGGATAGGCAAAATGTCATCATACCCACAGTAGAATATTACTCAGCCTTAACAAGGGAGAATTTGATACATGCTACAGTGCACATGAACCTTGAAGATATTGTGGCACTTGAAATTAAGCCAGACACAAAAGGACATTATTGTGTGATTCCTTTAATGAGAAATATTTAAAATAGTCAAATCCATAGAGGTAGAAATCAGAGTAGTGGTGTGAGGGTTAAGCTTGCTGGGTAACCTTGAGTGGCTTGGGAGCCCCCTGGGGGATTGGTGGAGCACACTGCTGGGTGGGTCTAGAGGCTGACCTTGGGTACTATATTTGGTCCTTTGCTCCTTCCTCTCTACTGTTTCCCTGCTCTGCTTCCTCCTTACCATGAACTAAGCAGCTTTGCTCTGCCAGTTACTTCTGCCTTGATGTTCCTGCCATGGAGCCAGCCCACTATGAACTGAATCCCCAGAAACTGTGAGCTAAGTTAAATCTTTCTTCCTTTAAGTTTTGAGTGTGGGTGTCAGTTGTGTCCCAGCAATGGAAAAGCTGACTAATGCAAGTGGTTACCAGGAACTGGGCTCAGGGAGGAATAGGGTGTTATTGTTTAATGGGTACAGAGTTTCAATTTGGGGTGATGAAAATTTCTTGAGATTGTGACAATGGGGACCACTGACTTGAACATTGAAAGATGGTTAAAATGACAACTTTCATGTATATTCTACCATAATAACATTTTTACATGTCTGCAGTGCCTCCCTACCACCTACTAAATAAAGTATAGATTTCTTAGTGTGAGCTATGTGGTCCTTTACTATTTATTTCTTCTTGATCTAACTTCTCATCCTCTTATCTTATCAAAACTCATACATATTTTAAGTTCCAGCCATACAGAACCACTCAGAATAAACCACTGGTGACAGGACACCATGCCTTTAATGTGTATGCACCCCACACAGTCTAAAATGATGTTGCTTTTCAGCCACTCAGCCCTCAGGACAGAGCTTAAACAGCACGTTTCTGAAGCCTTCCCTGGTGTTCTTTGGCCTTCATTATATCACTTATCTTGTTACTTCATAGCATAAGTTTCTATCCAGCAGGGACTATGCTTTATTTTAAACATGCATATTTACTTTTTAAAAAATCTGATGTTAATAACATTTTCTATTCTTCACAGCTATATAAGACTTTCGCATACTTTAATTTCAATTTCCCCCTCATTTTTTGCTTTATTACTTACCACTTTATTGAGAATGATAGTTTTATTACCAACACAGTAGCCAGTTTTTGGCTCTCCGGTGATCCCATCCATCTCTGTTCAGCTTTCCTTTTAGTAACTCTGAATGAGAATCTATGGGCAGTAAACTAGGTTTATTTATTTTGTTGTTGTTGTTGTTGCTGGGGATCGAACTCGGGTCCTTGTGTTTGCGCAGCAGGCGGCGAAACCACTGAGCTAAATCCCCGGCCCAACTAGGTTTATTTTTAAAACTATATTGCACCGTTACTCTTGCATGATGGTTTATGAGTATAAAGTTCTAGTTTGGAAAATTTTGTCTCTCAGTCCTTTGAGGATTTTATTTCCATTATCTTCTAGCATCTGTTGTTGCAGATCAAAATCATGTTGTCATTTTATTGTCCCTGGTCTTTATAAGAGCTACTCTTTGTCTTTGGCATTCTGCAGTGTTAGTTTGATGAGTACAGACCACTTTTAATCTTATCCTACTATTTTAGTCCATTTGTGTTGCTGGAGTAAAATATCTGAGGTGGATAATTTCTAAATGACAGGATTTTACTTCTCTCATAGTTGAGACCAGAAGGTCCAAAACCACTGGCAGGCTCGCTGTCTGGTGAAGATCTGGTCTCTGCCTCAAAGATGACACCTTAAATGATGTGGCCTGGAAGCAAAGCCCCAGCCAGCACCTTGCAGCCCTCTGTGAGGTTGCTAGTTCCCTTCACTGGGGCTCTGCCCTCATGAAACAGTCATCTACTGGTGGCCCCTGCTCTCTCACACTGGAGTTTAAGTTCCGGCATGGACTGTAGAGGGACATAAATTTAAACCGTAGCACCTGCTGAGAACTTGCTATACTTCTTGGATATCAAGATTTTTGTCTTTTATCAATTCTGAGAAATTCTTGGCCATTATCTTTCATGCATTTTGCTTCTTAAATTTATTGAAGCATAATTACTGTTTTGTCTCCTTTGCACTTTAACCTCTTTCACTGCTACAAACAGGCTT